TACCCCAACCTTCCCCTGCAGAAGGCTCTGCCAGTGTGTGTGTCCCCCCGCCGGGAAGGAGAAGCATTAGTCAGCCTCCCCAAAGCCAGCACTGTATATAAAAGCATATAACCAGTGACTATAGCCAGGCAATCTGTATGTGTCTCATCTCAGGGTTTGGCGGCGGTGACTAACTGGACTGCAGGGCTGGAACTGAAGAAAGCTGCAGAATGTCACTGAGCAAACAAGTTAAAACGGGAACAAGCTCCGGGGACATGGCAGTGGGGAAGAGACACACAGAGGGGGGCAGGCGCTGCATCTGCCACCGATGCTCCCACGCCAGGTCTGCGTGTACCTCCGGGTACAGAGCGTCCGACTTCCAGCCTTCAGCCAGCCTGCACCAGTGCACTTCTCTGCCATTCAAACACAAGGCTTGACAAACACTGTCGATGTGACTTCAGGCCCAGCTACATCAAATCAGCCATTTCTTGGCCATAGGAAGGTTTCTAATAACCCTGCCACCCCTCCAAAAACCCAGCATGTTAACTAGAAAGCGTGCCTTAAACACTTCTCCCTGCCCCACCACAATCATAGGATAAGTAATTGCTCACAAGCAAGTGCAGTTGCTAATTTCTGGAGATACAGAAGGCGTGTATTTTCAAATAAAAGAATACAGCTTTCAGGACTTCAGAACAATGAAAGGCAGGGCAACTGCCTGAAGTGCAGAAAGTAAAAGCTTTTTCCTTCAGAACAAGAGCAGAATCGAGTAATTGTCGTTTCCAGGGAGATGGGGAACTTGAGGGATCAGAGCTCAATCTGCAGTTAAATGGATTGGAAACAACTCCTTACCAGCTGCAGAAAAAACATGGATAAAAAACACACAGGAAAATCCAGAGAGAGCGTTTTCCCAGCACTGTGCACATCTCCCCGTGTTCAGGAACGACGGACCGACTTTATTCAGATGACCCAGGTTAGCTATTCACGAATGCCAAGGAACAAGCATTTCCTATGCTATCCCTTTCCTTATACATCTCCCATTCAAACTCCCTTCACAGCAAAAACTGACAGGTTTTTCAATTTTCTCCTTTTGAGAGAGAAACCTGGAAATTCTTTCTCACGCTCCTGAAGTGCAGTTCTAAGCAGACCATGTATGCGAAAAATACCTAAAAGAAGATCTTAAAATACTCTTTGCAAGCTAGGCAGGCCTTTGCCTTTCCACTGAGATGTTTCACAGGTGCCAAAAGACAGAAGGTCATACTTCAACGAGATGCCAAATTCTGAGCTTCTCCCATGTAAAAAGCAAATCCCATGACTTGCAGAGGATTTTCCAAAATAACCAATACCTTTGTGAGTGCTGTAGAGGGCTGCAAATGTCACCACGAAGAAGGTGGTGGAATATTTTCCAGCATTAACCAGATGAAAGGCCCGTTTGTTATCACGGTAACGGCGCAGGCACTGGATGAATCGCAACCAAGCAGGGATGCACTGGACAACTGCTCTCACTCCGTAGGAGTAGCTGTAACAAATCTGATTATCTGCAAGAAAAAAGTTTCAGGGACACAGAGTCAGTAAGTTTAAGAACTCCTACCGTCTTCCTTTCTGTAAGAGTAGTATCACTTGGCATGAAAGCAGTTCCCCATTAATGCCTCATACTTTGCTGCGCACACATACACACACACACACATATCCAGAACAGCGAGAAGCTCATCACCGGAAAGTATTCTGAAGCCCTTTACTCCATCCCAGAGGTACTCAGGTGACATGACATCAATAACACATCCAGACAGACCATCATCTAACTCTTTCACTGCTGCCAGTATAATTACCATGCAAGAAGATTAGAAACAATCTGTTGTTAAACTTACTTTGTGCTCCTGGCAGTACAGTGAATACTGAAATTAAGGACGGAATTACAAAAGGCCTCTGACACTGAATTTTTGTGCATAAATGGGAGAGCATTTCCAAACTCTGCAGGACAGCTCAAAAAAAAGTCCTTGACCCATTTTTCTTGCATATTGTAAAAGGAAAAAACATATTTCAGTAGGTGTTTGGGGTTTGTGTTGCTTTTGGTTTATTTGGGTTTGGTTGGTTTGGGTTTTTTGGGTTGTTTTTTCTTTTTAAAAAAGCAAAGCCAGGGCATAACCCTGGCTTCAACAACTCGGGTGAGAGGCAACTACACCAACATGACATTGTGTCACACCCCTGATGTTTGAAAGCCACCTTTTATAGATTAAATCATCATGAAAAACCCAGCTTTGCCTGGAACCTCCAAGCATGCCATATTCTTATGCTTTCTCACTCAGCACATCTAAACCAAACACCCCACTGACTAACAGATATTTGTTTCTTATTCAGACTAAGGGAGACAAGTTATTAGCTGATATTTATCCCAAAGCACTGCGCTATCATTCCGCTGTTTGGATTGGAAGAGGACAAGTTGTTATCCACTCGGTTGCTTTATTGACTTTACTTTTATTTTTAATAAATAAACCTATAGTTACTCGCAACACTGTCTTAAAGGGAAGATCAGACAGACTGGAAAAACAAAGTGAACGCTGAATCTTATTGAAGCATATTGCAAATTCTTTCAGCAGGTGTCAAAACCATCAGACAACATGATTTGCCAGTAGTCACTGCTTAAAATGGAAAGGCAACAGCCCGATCCAGGAGGAGACAGGTACTATTTTGCCACTGGGAAGGCCAAAGTCAAAATTCATGCAGCTCTTCTGGCTAGAAAGGAGAGAAGAGGTGGAGCATACACAATCCTGGAGTCACAGCATAAGCTCTAATCGAATAAGGGGTGGCTCTAACAAGCTCTGAGGAAGCTTCTCCATCCTCTCTTGCTTTAGGGTACTGCGATGGAGCCTGTGAAAAGCAGGCTACAGCGCAGAAAACTGTGGTTACCAAGCTCATACAACTCATTTTCATGCTGAGCAACAGGACAGGCTAAAAGCAAATATATGGTTAAGCCACTATGAAATAAAACAACAACGCCAGGAAAATGGATTTCTCTTTCCAATCAAGAAGTGCCATGTCTAAATTCTTTGATTTATACCCAAGTCAGGCCAAATGACTGGATTAGGAAATGAACGCTGATGCGAAATTCCACTTCTCTGGATGGAAGTAAGAAAGGGGAGAATCTCTGTAATGCTGTGTTTACAAGAAACACCAATTATTTTAGTTTCCTATGTCATCGGTAGCCCTCTTCAAAACAGATAGATGATTACGAAGTTGCCTTGCTCAGTGTTTTTCAGGTCATTTTGACCATGTTTGCACGGGTCGTCAGCGTTACTCTACCTGTATTTGCCAGAAGTCCAGCATTGTTCTCCCACTGAACCTCAAAGCTGTAGAAGCAGATCATGTATTCCAGATCCATGAGTATCACAACCAGGCTGTTGAGCTGATCAGCCAGCCAGAAATCTGCAAAGCCTACCTTGTGGAAGGGAGCAGTGAACACTCGAAACTGTTAGGGGGGGAAAAAAAAAAAAGGAATACTTCATGACATAGTGTCAAAGACATCTCAATGCAGTGGCAGGACATCACAGCATTGAACAAATATGGAAATAACAGAAATGCTTGAAGATTTATTGCTGACCTTTCACTCCTGATGACAAAAGAAGATAACTGTCTACTCACTTTTAGTACAAATAACATTCCT